CAATACTTCTTTTCAAATTCAGCTTTGTTTTTGAGTCGAGATTGATAGAGTGTGTCTGCTGCTTTGTGGATGTAATCTGAGTGTTTAGAGAGTTGTCGAATACGGAGTGCAAGGAGTTCTTCAGTAGTGAGATTTGGCTTGAAACCAGAAACAAGATATTTCCCTTCAAGGAGGTTGAGGGGACAGATGGGATCAACACCGTAGAGAAGATAGTAGGGAGAGAATCCTGTCGCTCTTCTAACTGTGACACGATCAGCAAAGAATGCATGATGAACATGATCTGGCCATTTCGATATTTTGCCTTCACAAGCCTTGATCAGGGCTTCTCGAATTGTAAACTGTCCTCTTTCCACAACTCCGTTCGCTTGAGAATTATAAGGCGAAATGTGAATCTGAGGAATGCCATATCATTGAAGAAGTTCATGAGTTCGTTACAGGTGCCGTATTGGGGACCTGCAACAAAGAAGCAGAGGTTGGAGTGGGCCGTTGGGGAAGCCGGAGGGTCGTCAGGGAGGTTTGCCAACTTGAATGTCAGGATGTCGGCAGAAAAGGGAAAAGGCAAGGAGCGCACGTTGGACGTCAATTGGGTGGAGGAAGGGTCGGAGGAATCGGGATTTGCAGCGGAAATCCAGGTGCTCCAAAAAACGATGCACAACCTCATGAAGTGGTTAAAGTACAACATGGAAGGAATGGCGAGTCTCAACGACTCATTGAAGACATCACATCGGATCACCGAGGTTGACTACAAGTTCCGGAGAAAGCGGTGGGAAACATACAATGGGACGTTTGCACGGAACCAGAGGTTGAGTCAGAAGGCAAAGTGGGGGATGCAGTGGGCGAGAAACCCACAGAAGCAGAACCAGAGGAAGTGTCAGAGAAACAGAAGGGGAAGGAAAAGGAAACAGAGGCTGTCAGAATGGACATGGACATCGCTCCAGAGGTGATGGAGAGTGGAGTTCTGGAGGTGGTGAAGAGTGCCAAGGAACCAGAAGAGGGAGTCATTGGAAATGTCGGGAATCCGGAAGGTACAGATTCGGGAAAGGCGATCAGAGGGGAGAAGGAGAAGGCAGAAGAGTCTGAAAAGGAGGCTAAAGCGCCTGAAGATGAAACCATGGAGTAGATAGAAATCGGAGAAAACAATCAGAAGGAAAAGTAGCATAAAGTGTTGGGAAATATCAGAGAAATCAAAAGTAATATAATTTAGAAAATGAAAAGGTTGTTGAAAATCAGAAGAAATTGGCAATAGTTGGAATAAGAACAATTGGAAAATCAAGGTAAGGGTAGGCACTTAAGTGCATACAAGGTTCTTTGGAAAAATCGGGATAAGTCGGACTCAGAGTGAATCTAGAAGCATGGGACATAGAATCGGGGTTGGACTTGGTGAAAAATGGTTGCAAAGGGTGATTCAGAAGAATCGGAGGAATTGGAACATATCAGAGAAGTATCAGAAAGTTAGGGTCATGGATGTCAGAGTTTTGGGTTTTCGGAAGTAAGCAGGGAGTTGTAGAAACAGACTTGAATGTGAAGGGTGGGTCAAAGAAGTGTTGTCGGAAAAATCGGTGAAAAGACAAGTGATTGAAAGGTTTTGAGGAATGTTGTCAGAAAATTGGCATATGGCTGGAAAATCAGAGTAGGACTTGTTGTTGACATAGTGGCTACTCCCCCTTTAAGGTGGACGTCCCATCGTCTACCTTAAACACCAGAAGAAAAATACATGAGACGGAGGATAGTGAATGGAAAGATTCCTTGGTAGGTGCTTGTCGTAATTTTTGCCAATTGAAATGGAATTTCATGGAAGGTTCTCAATAGATGGTCTTGATGTCTGTCCAGTTGAAAAATGCTGTAATCACAGATTACCAGAGAAGTCGGATGAATCAGAATGTTGAAAATGTCAAAGCAGTTGTAAGGAATCAGTCAATTGGAAGTTCGGAATGGTTGGAAATTCTTAATATAAGGAGGAAAATGTCAAAATCGAAAATTTGAGAGCCATAGAACGTTATCAGAAAAAAGCAAAAATGTCTGCAATTTTGGTATTCATCTTTGAATATCGTTGAGAGGGTAAGAAAGGTGATTGAAAAGGTGAAGTTGTTGGAAGAGACGAGAGAGGAACAGGTTGAGGATGGTGCATTCGTGAAGACAAGGGGTTTAACAACACCATTTGGGGAAAACTGTTGCTGATTCCAAAGGCGGCTTGTCGGTTAATGTCCCATAATGTGGAAATCAGAAAATGATGACTAGACTGGAATTGGAGTGACTTGTTACATCGTATCTTGATGTTCGAATTTGGAAAAGTTGGATCAGAAGACTGAAATCTCAGGGAATTGAAGATAGGTCCATGAAGGAGATTTGCAAGCTGGGATTTGGAAATCGTCTTGGAGTATTCTCAAGGAAGTATGAGAGTACTGTGCGGAAAGTGTCAGATGAAATCCTATAGCTAGAGCCTCATTAATGTTCTCGAGGTGATTCTGGCTTAACTAGATGTAAGGAAAATGAGTTTTCCCATAAGGAGATTTTCTCCCTCTGTTGAGATGATCTTGTCGGAGCATGTAGCAGAATATTGATAGTGCCGCTTGGGTTGGAATTCAAAGGAATTTGGAAGAATTGATGTATCAGATTTTCCTGTGTCAGAAAAATGCCTTATTGTCATGTTGCAAGGTGAATTGAGCATTTGATGGTGGATGGTTGGCAAGTTGGAGGATGTCACAGCAGAACAGAGATTTTCAGAGATTCGGAAAAACACAAATTATTGCAGGTTTCCAGAGACGTGTCATAGGGTTGAATCTTCTCGTTAAGGAGTGTGGAACTAAGTACTACCCAATGCCCTGTCAATCAATGGATTGTAGTGGGTGGGTTAGTGGCGTTCCCAGCATGTTGGAACAATCAGAAACAAGTGGCATTATACGCATTGTAATAACGACCGGGATTTTCACTGGATGGAGAACATGATTGGCATGAATAGGCCTACTGGATGGTGCAACATGTGATGTCATTGGAGTGGATACCTGCGGAAGGCAGGAATCTGAAAATGAAAGTTTTGGACACGATGGTCGGTCAAAAACTTCAGGATTGGTTTTGGAGATGTCGGAAATCTGAAGGTAAGGTTGGAAGCCATTGACAGGATTAATGGTATTGTTGGTAATTAGGTTGAGGGGTGTTTTTGGAAAGTGTCTGTCATAATCTCGGTAAGGCACAAATAATGATGTGAACGTGATTCATGCTTGAGGATTGTTTGAGCAGTCAGTTTTGGGAATTTGGACAAACCTCTAGGAGGTCCTCGTCATCAGGATTTCTCAGGCAATTCTTTACTTTATGACCAGGTCTTCCACAGTAGAGGCATAGCTTCTGATCGGTATGTTGTTGTTTCTCCTGTGGTATTAATTTGCCATCTTGTCTGAGAACGTTGGAGAGTTTCAGTGTTGATAAGGTCAGGGCATGGTTGGAAATTGTTGCCATTGATCATAGGTCATCGGAAGGAAGGGTTGAGGTTGCATTGTCAGTATTCTTCAGGATGTGCTTGGGTTTGAAGTCTTTGTCTATGAGGCATTTGCTAATGTTATCGGAGTATCCTTGAACACTGGTGTTGTCGGGATTTTCAATGTCGTTGGTTGATTCGTCAATGTCGTCATTTGAGAGTGTTAGGATTTGGATGTCAGCAGACATTGTAGAAATCAAGAGTGTTAGCTTATATACTGTTATGTACCGAATTCTTGACTGGGTCGGATTTCTCGTTAATCGGAGTTCTGTGTGTTGGAATACCTCGGAGGTGCTCAGAGGTACCAGAGCTTGGAGGTCAGAGAATCAGAAACAAATCTATACAGGCATTGGCTTCAACTTATGGGTTGTGCCCTCTTGGATTTCTAGTGCCCTGGTATTTCGGATTTTTGACCAGACAGAAATATCGGAATACCGATGGTCAGGTCTACAAAGAGTGATTAGTAACAATAGCACATCGAGAGACTTATCAAGTGAGCAGAAGAACTTGGAGATTTTGGGGTTTGGAGGGCCAATGCAGAAAGGTCGAGGAGTAACGATAAATGAATATCAAGTGAGATTTGGCTTCATGGAAAAGTGAGTAGGAGTTAAGTAATGGATGTGTCAGAAGATTGTGATGTTGGAAGTTTATTGGAAATCAGAATTATTCGGAGTTTCGAAATAATGATCAATGTATAAAGAAGTATACATGAACAATATGTGAAGTAAGGTATAGGGAGAACAATGCTGTATATATATAAATGGACTTTGACGCAGATAAGAATCAGTATGGCTGTCGAAAGAGATATATAAGCTAAAGGAAAGTCTGAGTGAGAAGGTGTATTTAAAAGGGTGTATGGAATTCCAAAGTCGGAAACGAAAAGGGTGCATGATACAGAATGCCGAGTTTGGAATGAGTATGGGAATCTAGATAAAGCATATGGGGGTAGGATGTAAAATAGATCGTGACTAAGAATGATCAAATGGGGGTATATTGGAATAAGCAGAAAAGGGTTTATCGGGATGCGCAGAAAAGACTTATTGGGATGAGCGGAAAAGACTTATTGGAGAATACAGAGATGTTGGAATAACACAGTATCAGATCTGGGATCTAACAGAATCATAATATGCACATGCACATGTGTGGAGTTATCAGATGGATTTTATTAATACCTGAACCATTAAGTTGTGTTGCCAAAGTCATGGCACCAGGTTTTATCTTAGAGAGGGGAATTTTGAAATGATGTTTGAAACCAAAAAGAAATAGGGGATATCATGCTTCAAAACCATTTTGCCAGTTTCACTGATGAGTCCCTGTTGTTCAAAACAGCTATTGAAACAAATGTCAAAACAACAGCAAAATGGCCATCCTCTATTATGAGTGACTTTAAGATTTTGGAGTGTACTTGTAGTCATACAACTATGGACCCATCTGGACTTCACTGTGAGTCAGCTAATATGTCTGAACCATAACACTGAAGGGTGACTAGGAAGGAGTCTGAAAGTTGCTATCAGAGAGATAAATTGTAGGTTTCATGGGGTAGCGGTTATCCCCCGAGATTCTGACTTCGAGTTTTCTCGTGACCCCGGTTCGATTCCGGGTGAGACCTTTTTGAAATTGAGCTGTAATTCAAAGTGCGCGGCCACTCTTAGTACTATAACCGGCTGCACTTTCTTCCACATGCCGCCTCGCAAGAAAATCCTATTTTCCCAAGAAAACATCGATCACCAGTTGCAACAAATACATCTTTTGGATCCCTCGTCTCCTACGGAAAACTTAGAACAACTCGGTCCGATTATCAAACAAATTCATATCTCTCGACAACAAGAAGCTTTTCTGCGTACCTTACAGAGCGTTGTTCAGTCAAAAGAAGAAGAAATCGAAAAGATTTGCGGTGATAACTATCAGGACTTCGTCTCCTCGGTTTCTACCCTCTTGACGGTTCGGTCATATACTCTCAATCTTCGTGACAAGATTCTCAGTCTTGATGCGAGTGTATCCTCAGTGGGGGGTGGTCTAGCAACCAAGAAAAAAGCTCTATTGAAGTCCAAAACGACAGCTGCGAACTTAGATGAGGCCATTGATACACTTCAAAGCTGCCTGAGAGTGTTGGATCTTGTGCACCGCATCGGGGAGTTGGTAAAGGACGGCCGGTACTGGAGTGCGTTGAGAGTTCGTCCAAGCTATTGCTTCTCGACGTGCACATAGCTGATCATAATTATATAACAGTCTTTGGAGGATATCCAAACCCTTCCTCCGTCCTCTTTGTCACAGACTCCATTTTTCACACACTTATTATCATCGTTGCCTTCTCTGAGAACCCAGATTAAAGACGCTGTCACCGCATCAACGAATTCTTGGCTACTTGAAATTCGCAACGTCAGCGGTGAAGTGGGCAGACTCGCCTTAGAAGCAATGGAGACCCGGACTCGACGATGGCGATCTCGTAGAGAAAAGGACCCGCTCCTGAAACTTAGCCGGGTTGGAAGCTCCGTAGAAATGGTTACCAATGAAAAGACTGAATGTTAGTGGATATTATTGCGGTTGCATACATTTCTACCTGACATTGTGGTGCTAGATGATGTCCTTGATAACGATAAACTTAAAGTGGATTTCAAGCCACTCTATCAATGCATACATATATACACAGCCCTAGATTCTTTGGAAGAACTCCAACGGTCGTATCAGGCAGACAGGAAGGTTCGTAATGAGATTGGACTCCTTTGTATTCATTCTTATGTTGGTTCCACAGGCGCAATCGACTCTTATTTTACCCAGTCCACTATCAATTTCCTCTCTTTCAACTCTCATTCAGGAAATTGTTGGGTTTTTCATTGTGGAGTCACACGTGTTACGGACAACAAGAGGCTTCCGTAGCGAACGTGAAGTTGAGGAATTATGGGATAGCGTCGTAACCCGGGTTGGTGAAGGTATGGGACAGGCCTTAGCGAGTGAAACCAATCCAGAGGTATTCCTGGATGTCAAAGAGAGCCTAATCGCATTTAGTGCAACCCTTGAAGTAGGTCTAGACGAGTTGATGTCAATTAATATGTTCTAATACTTCTTCAGGGCTACTCATACTCGAGTCAGCAACTACATTCTCTTCTTATGGTCCTCTTTGAGAAGTACGAAGCATTACTTGAAAACCAATACAGCAAGCGATTCCAGGTTGTGAGTGCTTCTTCTCAGATGCTTTTCGCGCATTCCTAGATGGACCCCCAAAAGATCGTGCACCAGGATGACCATCTCCCTATGCGAGTTGATGGACCGAGTGACAGAGATGCAGTTATTGCGTCAGTGTGGCTCTCAGACGCGGAGATCGCAGAACTCCGACTGTAAGCCCTTGTTTCACAATTGCCAACCATTTCTTATCTTTCTTTTACAATAGAGCCTCCCTCCCCATAACTTTCCCTTGGTCGCAAACTTTCTATCTGTGTTGTCAGGACGTAAGATACAAGTTTAATTCCGCGCATAATCAGATCCCAACGGCAACACTCAGATTCGAACGTTTGTAGACAAGTACTACAAATTTGTTGAGGGTGTAGCACAATATCAGCGTGACATTGACGACCTTCTAGGCAATGTTTGTGAAGGGCGTCTTATATAGCATGCTTTGGCTGACATCTTACCCGAGGCCGTTGACAGATTACTTACTATTCATGTCAGCAATCGCATCGCAGAACGCCTCCACACCATTTCCGGGTTGTCCCAAGTAGCACAAGTAGTATCCAACCTTGAACACTTTGAAGTGGCTTGTACGGAACTTGAGCGCAAGGTGACAAGTATTCGGTAAGCGTCCGACATATTTACAATTCCAATATTCTACACATTTTTATAGGTCATCGCACCGCGGTGGAACTATTCGCTTGTCGTCAACAACCAGCTTTGCAAATACTCTGACACGTACGACAACACGTATAAATACGATCATATCTTCCAAACTTAACGATTTCTTCGAATTGGCCGAATACGAGTGGACACCCAACTCCAAAGAAGACATGCCGAGCATGTATCTCTATGAATTGGTCAACTGGTTAACAACAGTTGTCGATGGCCTTATGGTGAAAGAGGTCTATAAAGACGAGGCCTACAAAGGGGCTGTAACACATGTTTCTGAATGTCTAATGGTAAATAATACTTTTGTAGAGGCATATGATCAAGGCTTATGTTTACATCAGGATTTTTTAACCGGCCGGAATGTGCCTTTTATTAATGACAACGCTATCTCCAATCTGCTTGTAGATGTTGACTTCTTAGAAGAAGAACTAAAGCGCATAGGACGATCCCACCTTAATGGTGCATTTGGCGAACTGAGATCTGTAAGTCTCTGAACACGATACATCGTCTGAAGTTTACCAGCTCAATCAGATATGTTCTATACCGCTTTCCGAGGCGGTTCAAAATTACTTGGTCCCCAGTATTCGACAAGCTTCCTATTCCGGAGTGAAACCGAAGAAACTGGCATCCTTGCTCGACAAGATGGCTCGCGCTGGACTCAGTAGTCGTGACCCTGTTCAAAGAGAGAGAGGCGTCAAACGACAGAAAGAAGCAGAAGCAGTAGGACGCCTATTCCCTGGTGAAAACCGTTGACCAGTATAAGTACATATTGAGGATATTTGGAATGTACTGTTTGTTCAACCTGTTTTTTAAATTATGTCGTTGGCGATGTAACCATCCCTCCACGAGTACATACACAAAGCGTATGGTGAGAAAGGAAAGGAATGCAAAGGCAGAAAGACAAGGAGACATGATTCATCATAGACGTGATTTTTGGTAACCTTATACTCGTCGCTTGATATTGCTACTTAGCCACTCTAAACCTTCGTAGAGGCCGTCACCACTTGTCGCACAGGCAGCCTGCAGTCCGTACCGTTATATCATATACCATTCAATGTGATTGAATCTAACCTGAATGTACCACGTCCTCTGCCTAAGCCCGTGCAGACCGAGTTTGTCAGTAATCTCAGCTGCGTTCATAGCGTTTGGCAAATCCTGTTTGTTGGCAAAAACAAGCAAAAGAGCATCTCGTAGTTCGTCTTCGTTGAGCATGCGCTGCAACTCCTCACGCGCTTCGGAGACACGTTCCCGATCATTGGAATCAACGACAAAGATAATACCCTGGGTATTTTGAAAATCTAGAAAACATAAGTTAGAATCTATAATCAATTGTGCGCACACTTACAATGCCTCCACAATGGCCGGATTTTATCTTGACCTCCCACGTCCCAGACTGTGAAGGAGATGTTCTTGTATTCGACAGTTTCAACGTTGAATCCTAGAATCCGAACAGTCAAAGGCATGCATAATCTGGTGCATCCAATTACTCGCCGATCGTTGGGATCGTCGTCACGATCTCTCCCAGCTTCAATTTGTACAAGATCGTCGTCTTACCGGCAGCATCCAGACCCACCATGAGAATCCCTATAAAAGGCATGCCATCGAAAGTTGAGTCGGAAAGCTGATGTGGTCAACTATGCCACCCACGCATCTCCTTTTTTCCAAATAGCCCTACCAAAGCAATAAGACGTGCCCTTAGATAAGACTATACATCCGACAGACATACCTGAGAGCAGTTTGCTAATAGACAACCCCATAACTACAGAAAGAGAAAGACAAACTTAAGCCTTAAGTGTATAGTGGATGAGGGCGATGCCGCAACGATATGGTTCTAAGCGCCGGCCGTTGACTAAACCCAGCATTCCACACTAAGTACATATGTATGTAAAATAAGGACCATGTAGTCTAAATTTCTAACAATTTACTAAATCCTGATAATTGCCATATCCCCCCATGAAGGAGGCTAATTATGTGTAAAATCCTTGGGCCACAAGATACTCCTCATGTTCCTGCCGGTGACCACGCACAGAGCGATCAAGCGAACGTCGCCAAATCGGAATGGCAATCTTTGTACAAATCAGTGAAAATCAAAATACCGGTACATATCACACGCCACATACCCAAGAAAGGATATCAAACAAGACATCTTTCAGGAAATTGTTTGAAGGAGAGGTGCCTCGACTTGAAGAACGAAAAATGTTTGTGATCAGGTCCACTGCTGATTGGTGCAGACCATTCTGTACGCCTTTTGATACATAACATTTCAGTGATGTTGTAAACGGCCATAGGTAAGCTTTGGCCACCTTTAAGAATTCCTATAGCCACCTGTTCAGGTGTCAAACCAGCGTCAGCTTCCTCTAACTTCATGGTGATCTTTGGTTTTGTTTTGTTCTCTTCTTCATATCCGGGTGAGTAGATGGTGCAAGGGAAAAAGCAATGAACATCAATCCCATAAAGAATAAGTTCTGAGCGTAACCCTTCGGCGAGTCCTGTTTGAGATTTAAAATATCACTACCAGGAAAGAGAGATGCGAGGTGACCTCGAATTGCATGTTTGCCAGGTGAATAGGACGAGTATCCAATCATAGACATGAGACTAAGTGTCGATCCTACGAAAACAATTTTGCCTTGTATCCGATCTTGGACCATCTTTTGGGTAGCAGCCTGAACAAATGTTAAATATCCTCACGCAATTACAGTATTAGCGCACCAGGGCTGTCCAAGCTTGTATCCAATAAGCGTTTGCCATGCCGTCAATCAGCATCCGTTCGGA